ATAGCTTCCTGCCTCGTCCCTAGGTTGGCAGTAGGCAGTATCTGTGTGTCCTTCGTTTGGTTACCTGTATCTTTACTCCTTATCCAATTGTAAGAGAGATAGAACAGGAAGGACTAAGCAAGACTGACCATAGATATGATTCAGACTTCCTGGATTCTCCATACTCTTCCTGCCTACTGGGTCCTTGCCACCTGCCTTCTGCTTCCCGTGCATGTGATCAACAAAACTTTGACAGGCGAAGTTTTCTTCCATGTAAATGAAAGAGTAAGCCGGTGGAACATAATGGGGCAGAGTAGGCAGCCTAGGACCCAAGGCTGTCTCCATAACCAGGCTTAACTAGTGACAGCAGGTAAGGTGAATGCCTGTCTCACACACAACAAAGATATTCTAAATTGATTTCTCAACAGGTTTCTCAATTGGCTACTTGACAAGTTCCTTAGTTGATTCCAAATCCCCAAACACAGTAAGAAGGGATACATAGACTACAAAACATAAATAGGATGCAGGGGGGGAAAAAGTTGAAACTTCCTATGAGAGTCAAAGGAAGGCTAACTGGGAAGATATTTTTCTGAGCCTAGATAAAGAAGAACAAATATATTTCATGTGGACAGATGGGGGTGGAGTAAGGAAGGAGGGCAAAGGTAGGGCAGTGACAGAGACAGTGCCACTGTGGCAGCGAGTAAGGCATAGAGGAATGAAAAGAACCAGCAGTGTGTTGAGAAGTACAAGCAGTTGAGCATCCAGTGGGAAAAACTTGGTGCTCAGAAATGAGGCAGAATTGTGCTGGGTTTAGTGGTTCAAACCTGCAATCCCAGCACTTGGGAGGCTGAGGCAGGCGGATCGCCAATTGAAGACTAGCTTGAGGTACATAAGTGAAATCTTCTCTCAAAGAACTTCAAGTTGACTACTAACTTATTGCCTTGAACCTCATGTGGGTGGCTGAATAGTTTTCTGAGCTTCCTTCCTGACAGTCAAGTTGTAGAGGTCTTTTGTAAAGCTCTAAGAGTCAATCTCTTCATAGCTTCTGTACCTATGGGTCTCAGTTGACATGATACCGAAATCTTGAGGCTTTGGGTGTGACAAGTATATAATCTACTCTGCTAGGCGAAAGCTGTCTCCAGAAGTCTCTGTGACTTGGCTGATGCTTGTTGTCCTTAGCTTGCTTGTGTGGCCCAGTCAAGGCCCTTATCAAAGACGTTCTCCATGTCACACTCTGAAGACCTGTAAAGGCCTTTGGTGGTTTGCTGAGACTAGTCGGACCATATTTTCCCCTTTACCAATTTCCTAATGACAGTTTGCCAGTAGCCAGGCAGAGTCAACTCAAAGGTCAGCAGCCTTCTTCATTTGGCACTTCGGTACTAGCGGCAGCTTCTACACAGCCATCCCTGGGTTGGGAGTTCTGTCTACAAATTCACTGAAGGTCTCTGCCATGGGTGATCAATTTTCCTGCAGATCCATATGCCCCACCCTAACTCCGGCTCTCCAGGCTCCTTCCTAATTTAGACTTTGTACTAACTGGGTTTTGTGGCAGAGAACAAAATACACCTGAACTGACATCGAATAAAAAGATTGATTTCAAGCATCACTGGCTTCTGGACTCATTGAATGACTGAAAATAGCTTGCAGGTATGTCTTTTGAAGTTGCTACTACAGCTATCACCACTGTAGCTTCAATGTCTGAGAGATGAAATCTTGAGTTTCCTCAACTGTGTTACTAGTCTGTTGGAGCTACTATAACAATACCTTGGACTGGGCTGTTTAAACAGAAATTTATGTTTTCATTGTTCTGGAGTCTGGCTGTGCATGATTAGGATCAAGATCCTAACAGTAAGTTGGGGGAATGGTGCAAGTGGTAGAACACCTGCCTAGCAAGTATAAGTCTAAGGCCCTGAGTTCAAACTCCAGTAACACACACACACACACACACACACAGACACACACACACAGACACACACACACACACACACACACACACCCCTATCACTGTTGGATGGGCCACATTTTCACCATGTTCTTACCTGGCTTTTCCCTTGTCTTTGGAGAAAAGAGAGGAGAGGAGACAGGAGAGAGAGGGGAGGAGAGGACAGGAGAAAGGAGAGGAGAGGGGACAGGAGAGGAGAGGAGAAGAGACAGGAGAGAGGAGAGGCCAGAGAGGAGAAAGGAGGGCAGGGGAGGGAAGGGAGAAGGGGAGTAGAGGGAGTGGGGGAGAGGTGGAGATGAAGAGAGAGAGAGAGGGAGAAAGTGAGAGAGTTATACAGATAGGCATAACGAAAAGAAGTTGGAATAGATATTGAACAGAACAAACCATTTCACAACTATTCAGCATAGTTTCCAAAATAAAGGCTAAGTTATTCATTGCAGTATTAGATTTAGTTGGAAAGACTTGGGAACAACACCGGGAGCTGATTAAAAAATAATGGAATACCATGCAACTCCAAAACTCTGACAGGTTTGATACTAAAATTAGAGACTAAAACTCTTCTGTGATAGGTTAAGTGAAAAATGCAGTTTAGAATAAAGCAAATCACTTACTCTGATGCATAGTATAGAAAATGAGTATGAATCTTCCATTGTTACCTCTGCATGTGTGTATGTAAGCAGGTAAGTAGATTTGCTCAATTAATGATGAATAATGAGTGAATTATAAATGATATTAATAAATGAACAAGAAACAGATGGCACTGGTTGCTATGGAAAGAAGAAATGGATGGGAACATCCAGGTAAGTAGGAAGGGGACATTTTGCTGTATGTGTATGTAATTGGGGGTTGTTTAGTGTCCACCGTGTTTACGGAAGAGTACTCTTGGCATTCATAACTATGGAAGGGAGAAGAAGGAATCAGAGTTGAGCAAAACTGATTGAGAGCTCAAACTGAAAAAGAGTTACCTGCTTTGGGCCAAGATGACCAGGCTTGTCTACCTACTGTCTTTTAAGATTTTTTTCAATTTTAATTGTTATTATTAAGGTGATGTGCAGAGGGGTGATAGTTACACAAGTCAGATAAATGAGTACTTTTTAATTATTGTAAAGATGTACAGAGAGACTACAGTTACATAAGTCAGGTGATGAATACATTTCTTAGTAAACAGTGTTACCTCTTCCCACATTTTCTCCCAGTTTTTCTCTCTCGACCCCCCTCCCCACAAGTTGTATAGTTCATTTTCAACATAGTGTCCAGTGCATATCTACCTCTCTGGATCCGGCTGTGGTGGGCTGCCTGGAAGGGTGGGAGTTTGGGTGGGTCTGTTCATGGCAACTTGGAGCTCTGTGCTCCAAGCACTCTGAGAAGTTGGGTGGCAAGTTGAACTTGATGGGTCTGTGGTTGCTGCATCTCCAGGTCCCTTGCTCCTGGCCTGTCTGATCTGTCTCATCTCCTACTGCTGTCATCTCATTTGCTCTGCTCCTTATTTTCTTGAGCATGCCAACCATGCTCTTAACTCCAGATCCGTTTTCTTGCTGTTCATCCCTTAGATAGCAGAATGGTTTACATCTTCCCTTCCTTTGTGTTTCTGCAGAAAGAATCCCTTATCAAAGGAGGCTTCCCTGAGCATGTTAACCCAAACAGTACATTTTCCTGAGCATCCTACCATGTCTGCTTAACTTATGTCAATTCTTGTTTGAATTATTTACTTTTTTCCTGCTATTCATAACAGTCTTTACTTCTTTGTAGTGGGCATTGCTATATCCTCTAAGATAACACACTAACAGGCACACTGTAGGCTTTCAACGACTGTGTGCTGAATGGATGCTTCAGACTCCTGTTTGGGGTTCAAAGAATCGTGAGCAAAATCAGAGGCTGGCACGGCCCTCGTGGAACTTGCTGTCTGGATGGGGAAACAAAAGTATGAACTGAAAACGAAGAGCATCACTGGTGACACTGGGGACTCACTGTGGTTCTTCTAGGAGGAACGCTAAAGCGGGTGAAGATGTGATTGTTAGGTTTTTAAAAAGAGGTAACCGAGTAAGAACTGCAGCAGCACGCACGTGGTATTCAGGTAAGGGGTAGGTTTATTCAGTAGACCTGCTGGGACCAGGCAAGGTTGGCACTCCACGTGGCTGGGAAAGAGAGAGAGCAAGAAAAGAACAGAGAGTGAGCTAGAATAGAACAGAGAGAGCAAGAAAAGAGCAGCAAGAGCAAGAGAGCGTCTGGGCCTGGGCTAGGCCTTATCTAGGGTATGGGCGGGGAAAGGTGTGGCCACATCAAATTCAGATGTGACCTCAGCGGATGCAGATGTGACCTCTTCCAGGTGTCCCAGTTGCCTAGGTAACGCAGGTACTGGGTGGAGACTTTGCTGCGAGGAGGGTGGAGTCCGCTAGCCATCCAGGAGCGGACCTTACAGTGATCAAAATGGGAACCCTGATAACAAGTGGAGGGACAGCGGTGCGGTGGGTCAGGGCAATTGAGAGCGTGATGGACACTAGGACGTTTCCAAGAAGGGCCTTTGGTTCCAGGAAGGCAGAACTTCTGTATGTAGCAGGAGAAGAGCGGGACACGGATTTGTACGTTTGGCCGGAGGACGATGGAAACGTTGGCTGCCATTCCTCTCTACCAGTTTCACACAGGGGTGGGGACAGAGGCAATGGGAGCCGAAATGCTAGACTGCCTTGGGGGTGGGGGTCTGCGGCCGATCCGAGCGCGACGCTGCGAGGCCGAGGGTGCCTCGAGGGCCCAGAACCGCCCGAGCGCCTCCGGGCCCAGGACGGACTCCCCGGGCCGACGACCAACGAGAGGGCGGACCACCGCGCTTTCCTAGAGAGGCCCCGGCGAGCCCACCGGGACCGGCGCGGCCAACTTCCGGTTCCGGGGACACGGGATGAGGGTGGGGGCGTCTCCCTCCCGGACCGCTGGGGCAGCTGGGGTGTCCGGTGTGCGTCCCCTCTTCCCGTCTCCCCCTCCCCCCGCCCCCGCGCAGTGCGTTCCTCCCTGGGGGAGGGCGGGGGCCGCGCTGTCTCCCCGGGCCCCGCGCGACGCCGGCCTTCCCCGCGCAGCGACCTCAGACTGCACCCGAAGCGGCACCGAGGCCGTCCGCGGAGCCCCAGGATTCCTGTGCCACCAAACCTAATAGTGTGTGCGGGTCGGGGCGGGCGGGGAGACGAGCCAGCCGCTGCCCGCGTGAGTTCCGGGGTGGCAGTGTGTCACGCAGACAGCACACGCACTACTCTGTTGGGCCTCTGTCGTGTGTGCGTGCGTGTGCAAATAGATGGCTGCAGATGTCCGCTTTCGGCTGGAGCGTTCCCGCCCCCCTCCTGCGCGGGGATGCGGTGAACGCGCCCCCGCTGGCCCCGCGGGCGTCCGGAGGGAGGCCGGCTCTCGGCACTGGGTGTGGCCGTACACACACGTTTTGAAAACGAGAACAATGAACTGAAACCCGTCAGGTCGCGGGCGGACCGTCTCCGCTTGGGGATCGCTCCCAGCTGCTGCTGCTCCCTGCTCTGGTTTAACCGGGAGGGTGAATCTCCACTGCCAGTCCGCGTGGCGCCGCCCTGTCCTGCCACTCTGGCTGTGCGGCCTAGGACAGTTTTCTTAGGGCCTCCTTTATACAATTGGTTGTACATCACGGGCTGTTCTCTGAGAATTAGATGAGAAATAGGTGCAAGTTATTCAGTTGGATAGCAGGCACTGAACACGCAGTAGTAGGGGAAAATATATACTTAAAAAAAAGGGGCGAGGGGCTTTGTCATTTTAGACTCTTAAAAGTGTGTTTTTCTTTACGTTCTCAAATGATGTCATACCACTTATAACTCCCTTTCAGGGGCAGACAACATCGTCTAGTCCCTTAACACGTATCAGGCTTTAGAAGGTAAACTTTTCGCTGAAATGTACATTGATTATGGTAGAAACGGAAAACATGGAAGAAGTCCCATTCTTGACCCCCTTTTATATCTAGAGGCTATTTCTATAATCTAGTCCACCCCCAATTTTTTGTTTTTTTTCTTTTTTACTAATTACTAATTATATAAATCTTTCCTTGAAAATTGACTCCAAATGATTTTTTATTCTGTCATCAACTAAGGTATTCTTTTGAAACTAAATTTTTTTTTTTTAGCTCTTATACCTATATAAGTCCCATGAAGTCTATAAGCAGTTATTATTGGTACCCCTAACAAAAGAACAGGGTTTATCAATTAAAAAGTGTTTCTAAACTGTGAGTGAACAGTAAGGATTAGTATGCTTGATCCTCAGGCCTTTAATGTGAAGAGGATTATAATGACTATAGATAATAATAGATAATTGGCTATTTAAAATGATTTCCTTAGAATAGGTAAATTGGAATAACTTAATTCTATATACTTGCCTTTGGCATACAATTTTCTAAATGACTTCTAAGGGCCATATTTCTTCATTATAGTGCACATTATAGAGCATTCTATACTTGTAATTGTTAACTTTGTAATGGTTGGGAAGGAAGGAGCAGGACAAAACTAGAATACCTTCAAGCATGACACCTGTTTCCTTTCCCCAGGGTTTCTGATCGCAAGCCTGGCTGCGAGAGTTGCAGTGGAGCAAGGAAGAAAGCTGTTAGTTCCAGCTTCTCATGGCTTCACCAAGAAGGTAGAGTTTGAAAAGCCTATTTACAGGTGAAGGAATCAAGATGAGCTAAATCTTTAGGGAATTTGTTATAAGATGTCCTAGTATGGGGGAAAGAATGGGATATCAGAATGAGACAAACCTTAATTTAATTCTGTGCTCTGTCATCAGTTCTATCTTGTGTATATTTTAAAATTAGATATAATCTTTATGAGTTATAAATTGAATTTTAATGAGATATGTTATTCTTTTTTTTGGGGGGGGGTCTGGTCGTGGGGCCTGAACTCTGGGCCTGGGCGCTGTCGCTCAGCTCTTCAGCTCAAGGCTAATGCTTTACCACTTGAGCCACAGCGCCACTTATGGCTTTATTCTTTTGCTTATATGGTGCTGAGGAATTGAACCCAGGGCCTCATGCATGCAAAGCAAGCACTCTACCACTGAGCCATCTTCCCAGCCTGAGATATGTTATTCTTATAACAGTAGCTACTGCTATTTCTATGTTATTCTTATAACAGTAGCTACTGCTATTTCTATGTTTGTTTGTATTTTAACTAAGCTGTTGTCCAATTTTTACTTCATATGCAGCCCTCTTCAGATTTATCACCACTTAGATTCCCCCCCCCCTTTTTTTTAAGTCTTCTAGAAAAGACTGGGCACTGGTTCATTCCTGTAATCTTAGCTACTCAGGAGGCTGAGATCTGAGGATCACCATTCCTTTCAAAACCAGCCTGGGCATGAAAGCCTGTGAAATTCTTATCTCCAGTTAACCACCAAAAAGCTGGAAGTAGAACTGTGGCTCAAGTGGTAGAGTGCCATTCTTGAGCAAAAAAAAATCTAAGAGATAGTGCCCAGATCCTGTATTCAAGCTCCAATTTTTTTAAAGTCTTCTAGAATAAAGTTTATACATTTGATTTTAGATTGATGTCCATCCTGTTGTCCATTTCTGATGATAGTTTACATACTTTGTTTGTTGTTAATAAGGACAACAAATTCACCTGCTTCTGGTGACCCCATAGAATAAAAGAAGGAACACTAGCTTTAGAAACTTTTTTCTATAAAATACTTTATAAGATTTGACATTGCTATTTACCCCACCATAATTCAGAATTTCTTTGTCCAGCAGTGATTAGGGAATGTTTAGAACTTTTGTTTATTCTTACAGATGAAACTAAGACTAGTTTAAGAAATTTTCTACACAATAATCCGGATGCAGATAAACTTAATGAGAGTGCTTCAAATGGTCTAAAAGACATGGTCCGCAGAATTCTAAGCATGATGATAATGAAGAAGTACCACTGATAATGTTCCAAGGAAATCAGATTTGGTGTCACAATTCCTATGAAAATGAAGGTAAGTTAGAGATTTTGGGAAATCCTACAAGGAAAGAGAATGATATACTCCATCTTCAGGAATGGGATTCCGTAGATCACAGCACATCTTCTGCTCAGCCAAATTTACCCTTTGGACACAAGCCCTACAAGTGTTTTGAGTGTTGGAAAAGTTTCAGTAATAGCTCTCATTTGCGTACTCACCAGAGGACCCATTCAGGAGAAAAGCCTTATAAATGCTCTGAGTGTGGGAAATGCTTTTCTAACAGTTCTCACCTAACTCAGCATCTAAGATCTCACACAGGAGAGAAGCCCTACCAGTGTGCAGAGTGTGGGAAAAGCTTCAGCAATACTTCCCACCTCATTATCCATGAGAGAACTCATACGGGAGAGAAACCCTATAAATGTCCTGACTGTGGGAAGAGTTTCAGTAGCAGCTCCCACCTTATTCAGCATCACAGATCACATACAGGTGAAAAGCCGTATGAGTGTCCTGTTTGTGGAAAAGGCTTCAGCCACAGCTATGTCCTCATAGAACACCAAAGGACTCACACTGGAGAGAAACCCTATAGATGCCCAGATTGTGGAAAGAGTTTTACTCAGAGTTCCAGCCTGATTCGTCACCAGCGGACACACACAGGTGAGAAGCCCTACAAATGTCTTGAGTGTGGAAAAAACTTTGGTTGTAATTCTACTCTAACAAAGCATCAAAGAATACATACAGGAGAAAAACCTTATCAGTGTCCAGAGTGTGGGAAGGATTTTAGTCGAAGTTCAAGCCTTCTTTCACACCAGAAAACACACACAGGAGAAAAATCTGATGGGAAATTTGAATGTGAAGAAAGCGTGCTTCAGAGATGCAGTGTGATAGAAAAATGCATAGTCCCACCAGAAGAGAAACCATATAAATGTTGTGAATGTGGAAAGAGTTTTGGCCTTAGCTCCCATCTCATTAGACATCAGAGAACACATACTGGGGAAAAGCCTTATCGATGTTCTGAGTGCTGGAAAACGTTCAGTCAGAGTTCTACTCTAATGATTCACCAGAGGACACACACAGGAGAGAAGCCTTATAAATGTCCTGATTGTGGTGAGCACTTCAGTCAGAGCTTTAACCTTATCAGGCACCGGAGGACCCACATAGGAGAAAAACCTTACAAATGTGTCAACTGTGAGAAATGCTTCAGCAGAAGTGCTTACCTCAGTCAGCATCAGAAAAGTCACATCAAAAAGTCTTTTGAATCTTCAGAAGTGAGAAGTTTTCCCCATGAGTGGACATGGAAAAGGTGCTCAGGGGAGATGGTCCTCATCCCTTCCTTTTCACTCTCAAATTCATCTTCCTGAGTCCCAGAGGCCTGGTGGCTCCCCAACCCCACCCCGCCCCCACCGTCACCCATGGTGCCCTGAGGTTTCAGTGGGTATATTGGTTAAGGAAGAATCAGATGTCTAAGGTCTGGGATCTATCCAGTAAGAGACACCATCAAGGATGAAGAAAAAGATTGTTGTTGTGATTGTTTTAAAGCAAGATATAAAAGGCTCCAAGTAAAAATTCATATAATAACCCAAGGGTAAAGAAGTGGGCTCATGAGAACATTATCTAGACCAGAAACCAGAACTGGGGGGGGGGGTGCTAGAATCTTGAGTTCTGTTCTTAATTTTTGTGTGTGATAGTACTGTGATTTGAATCCAAGACTTATCTAACTTGAGGCAGATGCTCTGCCACCCCCCAGCTTGTTTTTAAATTTTGATAATCTTTCTTCCCTCAGGGTTTTCATTATGTAATTCCTAGTCTAGTCTGATCAGAGAATGAGTTTGTTTCCTAATTGACCCACTAATTCTGAATCAGTGGTCAGAGACCATTTGCCTTTCACCTTGAGATTCCTTAGCTTCTGTTTGGTCACCTCTTGATGTATTTGGTCTATGGATCTGATAACTGAGACCTCATAGTCTGTTCTGTGGGAGTCTTGCTTTGGGACATACTAATGCAAAAAGTAGATGAAGAGAAAGCTCAGGACTCCTTTGAGTTGCTCAGGATTTCAACACATTGTTGGGTTTGACATACATTGTGTGAAGATTATGTAGAGATGGATATTAGGCACGTGAAACCAGACAGGGCCAACTCTGCTGTGAAGGGTGTAGTTGGTGAGGAATCTGGTGACAGGAAGCTTTATTTCATCTTTCAAGATTATGGTATTGATGAAACAATTGCATCTTTTTTTTTTTTTTTCCGCCAGTCCTTGGGTTTGAATTCAGGCCCTGAGCCTTTTTGTGCTCAAGGCTAGCACCCTACCACTTGAGCCAGAGTGCTCAGTTGATTGGAGATGAGAATCTTATGGACTTTCCTGCCCAGGCTGGCTTCAAACCTTCAGCCTCCTGAGTGGCTAGGATTACAGATGTGAGCTCCTGGCACCTTGCTCAATTTTTTAATCTTTTTATATGATTAAAAATAAAGCAGAAACTAACAATAAAGGTAATAAAATACTATGGGGTGATTTTTTTTTCCTTTTCAAAGAGGAAACATTGGTTATAATTGATTTCTATGTGATTCTTCCCCTATGCATTTTTCTATCTTATACAGCATTGCCCAATTTAAATTATAACATACAGGGATGAGATTTTACTTCTTCTTTTGGCCATACTGGGGTTTAAATTCAGGACTTCACGGTTGCAAAGAGACTTTCTACCACTTGGGGCTGGTCTCCATTCTCACAGTATTTTTTTTAAACCACAGACAACTCAGAGTTGGATTAACATTTGCTAATTAAGTTATGGGTGTATGGTTGAGGCTGAAATTCAGCAGCAGCCTTAGTATGGTGTACAGTCATCAATCACATGATCTGTGCAAATTCACACAATAAGCTAAGCCTCAGTTCCTCCATTTGTATAGCAAAAATAATACCTGGTTTGCAAGGTTGTTATGGGGATTTTACAAAGCTTCTAGCACAGTGCTTAATCCATTGCAGAATCTCAATAAATTCTAATGGCATTATTATTCATGGAAACAAATTGAAAAATGTATTTTTTTTCTTTTGAGACAGGGGGTCCTGTTAGGTAGCCTAGTTTGCTTGGGCTGTCTCAGCCTCTCCCAAGTGCTGGGATTACAAGCAGGCACCACCATGCCTAGCTCACGTGTTTTTAACACAGAAATAGCTTGAGGCCAGGAGGATGTCAAGTTCCTGGTCACCTGGGCTACATAGTGAGACCCTGTCTCAAAAAGAAAGAAAACAGAAGTAGCAATATAGCCACAAACTTATCCTACTTAGAGACTGCGATTATTAACAGGAACCCTAAGAATAAAGTATTCGAGAACAGAAATAGGGTTCAGTAGCTCAGTGGTAAAGTGCTTAATAGAGTTCAGAAGACCCTTGCTTTGATCATAACATTCATTTGATCACCTTTCTTCCCTCCCTCCCATCATCCTTTTTTTCTTTCCTTCCTTTCTCTCTCTCTTCAGTTCTGGGTATTGAAGTTATAGTTTTGTCCTTGCTAGGCAGAAATTTTACACTTAGCCCTGCCTCCCCTAGCTTTGTTTACTCTGGTTATTTTTATTTTTTGTCAGTCGTGGGGCCTGAACTCTGGGCCTAGGCACTGTCCCTCAGCTCTTCAGCTCAAGGCTAGCGCTCTACCACTTGAGCCATAGCACCACTTCCGGCTTTTCCTGCTTATGTGATGCTGAGGAATTAAACCCAGGGCCTCATGCATGCAAGGCAAGCTCTCTACCACTAAGCTACTTTCCCAGCCCCATACTCTGGTTATTTTTGAATTATGCTCTCACTTTTTCTCAGGCCAGTATGGACATCAATCCTATCTCCACTTCCTGTCATAGCAGGGGCATATCACTTTCCAGCTATTCGTTGAGATGGAAGTCTCACAAACTTTCCCCAGGCTGGCCTTGAACTTTAATCAACCTGTTCTCTACCTCCCTTCTCCCTTGTGGCTAAAATTACAGGCATGAGCCATGAGCGCTCAGCCTGTGTTTTCTATTTTTCTTCCTAAAACAAATGACTCAGCAGCATTGTGGGTAAAGAACCATTCTTATTTATGGTTTCATAATTTCTTTTAATTATGAGAGCCTTATATATTCTATTTTTACTCAAAAAAGGGACTTCTGGTTTTTTTTTTCCTACAGTGTCATAGGGAGACACGCAGAGTAATGTGTATAGCTGTAGAATTAGCAGGAAGTGCACCCCTAAATGCTATACACCCTTACAACTGCTAGAACATGCTAACAGATACCTCTAATATAAATGTGGACACTCTCATTGGACCATGTCATCCAAGTCAGGTTTACCAAGTTCCTTCTCCCTCAAGGTGTAGAAATTTCCTCACTCATAATGGGAAGTATGGACAGTGAATCTGGCAATGGCCCATTATATGTTTGAAAGACTGGTCTCAGCTAGTCTCTTACTTTATGGAATCCTACTAATGACCTCTCTGAGTAGCAGAGGTCAAGTAACAATGGGATGAGCAAAATGTGTAAGAATGGTCTAGTTGTAGAAGAGCATGCAAGTTTTTATGGCTCCTTTTTACTATCTCTGGAACTATACCCACTCTGCTAAAGACTCCATTTTCAAACTTACTTAAAAAATCTGAAGATCTAGAGATACTTAGTGATTAAAGTGGGTTAGGTTTGCTCTGTAAAATTGCAAGCTCTGTGGCTTTTTTTTTTAATTGTGAAAATACTGTACAGAGGGGTTACAATTACATGGGCAAGATAATGAGTATATTTCTTATCAAGCATTGTAGCCTCCTTCTTTGTTTCCCTTTCCCATCCCTTCCCATCCTCCCCCCGCCCAGCTCTGTGGCATTTGACGCTACACTTGGCAAATGGTGGCATCAATGAATGCTGAATGAGTATCATGCTTATGTATTTTATGCTAATGTCTAAATATGTCTCGACTCACGTACCCATGTATTCAGATTGTCTACAGGTTTGCTTGACAATTTTTTTTTGTTTGGGTTTTTTTTTTTAACTGTATTTTTTTTGTCTTTTCTTTTTTGGTACTGGGGATTGAACCCAGGACGTTGGGCTTGCTAGGCAAGTGCTTTGCCACTGAGCTACATCCCAGCCCTTGACAATTTCTTATTTCTCATGAGAGAAAGGAGCAAAATCATCCTATAGTTTGCCATTGCAGAATTGGAGACTACTGAGCAGGTAAAATCCCCAGAGCATCACAGATCTCAGAGACGCCAGTCATACCTCTCTGCAGCCTCTTCCTTCATGACATGTTTGTGTCAGAAGCAATATAGGAGAAATAATTATTTTTTTCATGCAAAAATGAGCTAATATGGAATGTCAATGCAAGAGTCATGGAAATGAGGTTTTTAGGCCTTATACCTGAAGCCCTGGAATTCCACATGTCAGGTCCAACCACTTGCCTCTATACACCAAATAGATAATAGGAAAGAGTAGATCAAAGAGATTTATTTATGACACAGGACATACTCTGAAAGGAGGGAGACCATCTTCAGCTATCTTCAGGATAGAGACTTGAGGTTTAGATTTAAATAGACAAAGAGCTGGGAGCAAAGGATGAAAGTTATGCATAATTACTAAACAGTTCTAGTCAAACAACAGCCTGGTTAATAATTATGGAGGGGTTCTGGAGTTGCTATAATTATCATCACTGGTCAGGTAATCAAATCATGGTTGCCTGGCAGGTGCTCTGTCCATTAGGGCAGTTTTCTCCATTTCCTTATTATAAATATATTATCAATATGTCCTGTTCTTGGCTTTCAAGTTGTTTGCAAAGTGAATGGATCAGAACAAGGACAGATCTATCTAAAACAGAGGCAAGGATGCTGTCCTTTTCTCCTGCTTTTAATTATTCATGGACTCTAAAAAGGAGTCAATAGCAAAAGCAGTTTAAGTACTTATTACATTATTGCTGCAGTAGTCAAGTTGAAGGTGAAAGTTAGTATGGCCAACATGATCAATTTATTTATGACTAGTTATTTGTATATATATGTGTATATACATACTAGTTATTTAGGCTGAGTTACATATATATATATATATGCATGCACATACATATACATACATGTATATATATAAATACATACACATAACTCTAATTTATATCTAACATATATATATATGTATATGTATGTATGTATATACAGTCCCTTGTGTCTTGTTGTCCAAAATAGTTTTTGTCTCCTGGTGCCAGAATCTCTTGTGGTGATATTTATGTTTAATCTTTAGTTTTGCCTTGGACTTGGTAAGGTAACATGTTGGGAGTTTTCGATTTTTCTTCTTTCTCTGTTTTTTTAAATTATATTAAAATAGGAATGCAGGCTTCCCTTAATCCTTCAATCTCTTTTACACAGAAATATACCTGAAGCACATTCAATTGCGAAGTTTAGAATTCTAATTGATTTCTTTTCAATAGGTTATACAAATTTTCAATGTCACGCTCGTGTAGGGTTATAGGGTAAATGAAGATTCCATTGCAGATCTCATTGTCTAACAAGCACTGCACTGTCTCTACTGTGATATGGGTTCCTTTGTCACTCTCTGTTATCCTAGAGGATCCACAGCCTGCATTTCATAGCATTAGTGCTCAGCTTGTAAAAGCTGTTGTTTGGCCGCTGCTAAAGCTTAAACGATGTAGATGTCTATCACTGCTACCATATATTTTTGGTTGGTGGTATTGTAGTGGTCCTGGAAAGTGTATCTGCATAATA